AAAGGAAAAGGGTGTTGAACCATATTTGTTGATAATTCCAATAAGAATAAAAACGCATAATGAGATTACCAAGTTTGACATGGTAATTGATTGAAAATTAAATTACTTGATGAAGAGGTTGTTTTCTATCAGAATAATATAGAATATTTTAAATAATGCATATAGAGAATGTTTATTAATAATGATTTTATTGAAGTTTGAAATGTTTAAATTTTGCAAAACCTATTATCTCAAATATTGTCATATAGTAAGATTGGGGTTTGGAAAAATCGCAAGGTTTGAAATACTAGTTTGGAGGAAAGATTTTTGTAAATGTAATTAAAGGGTCATAATAAATAAATATATTTTCAATAAGTAAAATATTTTTTTAAAATTATTTTTTCATTGAAATTATTTTTTTCTTTCTAAAGCTTTTGAAATAGTTTAAATGGAGAATTTGAATTAAAATGAAGTATGGGTTTTTGTGTGTTTTAAAAATTGGTTTGAAGGATTTATTCATCTATAAAGATTTCTCTTTTTGTGATGATTTCTGGCTGATAGTTTGTAAGGCTAAAAGTAATTATGATGAACTGGATAAAAAATTTACCTAATGTTTTACTTGTAAAAAGCATTTTATCTCCTCATCTTCAATAACTGCTTTTATATCAAGATTTGATTGGTTTTGTAAAAGAAATAGTTAAGATAATGATTTTTGTAAGGTTTTGTGAATTTTAATATTATGAAAATTCAAATTTTATCTTTGTGGTTTTCTCTTTCCCTAGATTTAGGGAGGCATTATGATTTGTTTTGAAAGAATTTCTTATGTTAGGAAATCATGAATGAAAATTTTAATTTTGAGTTAACAATATTGTTATAATTTAACATTTATTTGAATAGGTCTTTTTTTATAGGAATTTATTTTTCATTAAAATTATCATCATAAAAAAGATTAGTAACGTGTTATTTTCTTTTTTAAAAAGCATTTAGTAAACTAGAACAAACATTTTTTTTTAATCTTTCTTTAAAATTCTATTTTTTCTTGTAAAACAAGTTTTTATAATTGTTGTTTTTTTTTTTTTTTGTAGAAAAACATCTTATTTAAGATGCATGAGATGAACTTTTTTTTTCTCAAATTAATGCATTAATATGATAAATATGAATAAGACATGGTGTGATGAAATTTAAAATCCTAATCTTTAATTTTTCTAGAGAGGAAAAATAAGTTTCAAGTCATTGATTTTTAAAGTAATGTTTTCATGACTAAATTTGTAAAAAGTAACCATGTTAGTAAAATGGATTGCAAAAAATAATGGTACGATTAACTTCAACTATAACACTAAAGAAATTTCTAAAATAAAATCCATTATTAGAAATTCAATGCTTATAATTTGTATTTGATAACTAATTTAATATTGCAGTAACTTACTGCCAAATGTTTTGTTAGAAATGTTTTATGTGTATATATCGGTGCTAATAAAATGGTGTTGAATATATAATAACTACATAAAATATGTAAATTATTAATGAATCAGATTATATTATAATAAAATTAAATATAATTTTTTATTCAACTCTTAAATCAGGTCAAAATTTAATTAGCATATTCTGTAGGTCATATTCCTTGTAAGGTTTGTAAGCTAGCATCAACCAAGGACATGAACATGTCCAAATTAAAGCCAGAAGCTTTATTTTTTATTTAAAAAAAAAACAATCATTATTTTTCTAGGACTCGTTTCTTAATTAAATTTCAAAACTCTATCTCATTTAACTTTCATTCCATTTAAACAATTATATATATATAATACCCTCATTTTATCAAATAAAAATTACTAAAATATTTTATATATTATTTTTCATAAGAATTATTGATATTCATAATTTATTAAATCATGATTTTTTTCTACCATTTAACTTAATTTCAAAACTTGAGAAACTCTAGTTTCGTAACTTTCAAAAGACGCTAATTGAGTGGCTGCATCACATCGAAAGAAACATTTTAATTTTATGTTCTAAAACAGATGAGGTATGACTTAGAATAGCGAAAGGTTTATGGTATCTCCATTATACTAAATAGACTCTTCAGCATCCACAAAAAAAAAAGGTTTTTCTATATAAAGACGACTCCATTGGTGGCCGGAAAGGGTAATGGAATTCAACCACAGATATGATAAGAAAATTAAGCGATCAAGATAGAACCACTAATTTAATAAATCACATCAATCTGACAAACCTGTTTTGCAAGAATTCATTGTGGTATTATGAAAATCATTTTAGCAAAGAAAATTCATATTTTAGTTGGCTGCCTTATTCAAAAGAACTGGATTAGCCTGTAAGAAATGTGGTTTTTAATTTTTATTTTATTTTTTTATTTTAAAATAAGTTTTTTATATATTTTTAAATTGTTTTAATATGCTGATGTTAAAAATAATTTTAAAAAATAAAAATATTATTTTAATATATTTACAGATAAAAAATATTTTAAAAAATAAAGTTATATACTAATATAAATATTACTTTACCACCATTTTGTATTCAATATATTATAAAATTAACAAAATAATATAGCAGTCATCTCATGATGCAGCTTCCAAGCTCTTTCGAGAAAATAACAATAATAATAAATACCGCAGCCTCTTCATAATTATTAGAAAAATACTTAGACTGACTAGCCTCAATTATGATACCATGCGCATGTTTTCAAAGATCCTTGAATTTTATCGTTGCCGTTGTTGTTATTATTTAATTGTCTGGAACATTTATGCCTTCAAACAGCCTTTCTCGACCGTGGTTTGCGTTCCTTTTTCCTTTCTACCTTCCATTTATTTCATGAAGGTTTTAGCTGAAACAGCCTGTGTTCTTCTGTGTTTTATATTTCATTCGCTTGGCATGACCGTAAGTGAGCTTTTATGTTTTGGACTTGAATTAAAAAGAAAGTTGATATTTCTTTTTCGTTAGATCCTTCAATCCAATATATAAATCTCATACTACAAATTAAATTCTCATTTTAACATGAATTGTTTGTATACTGTCTTTTATATGTGCTTTTTTAAAAATTTAAAATTTATTTTATTTTAAGTTAATATGTTTTTAATATGCTTGTCTCAATAATATTTATTTTATTTTAAATTAATATATTTTAATGTATTTATTTTAAAAATAATTTTTAAAAAATAAAAAAAATATTATTAACATAGTTTTTTAAATAAAAAACATTTTAAAAAATAACCTTAACAATTTTTACAAACACGCTAGCTAAATAAATAATCTAGTCTTGATTTGAAAAAAAAACTATATAAATTACCATAACATTAGGCTAAAAAAATAATAGCTCTTTTTTCAAGAAAGTTGTCTCAAATTATCTGTGATTTCATGTCATTAACTTGAGCATTAAATAAATTCCTTCCAATATCATATCACCTGGGGTTTCATGCCCTTAGTGGCTCCTTCTCTCCACTTGAGCCCGTAAATTTCTTTGCAAAATAATCTTAAATTGGCACCAAAATGGTGGTGCCGCCTTGGCACTCTCGTCGTCTTTTCTTGGCGGTAAAAAAGAGGTAAGTTGAAATTTCCGATAACATTATTTGTTGAAATAAGGAAATAATTACTGGCATTATTTTCTGACTACGTCTTCTCCAAAGGCACAAGTTGATTTAATTCTTTTTTATAACTGACAAATGTTTAGACTACCTATTTAAAAACATGTTAGGAATATTAAATAAAAGTTGGGACCACTCTCGTCACGCGCTTGACGCAGTCGTGGGTCTAGTATTCTCGAAGCATCAAACCTTAGAAACCCCGCACAAAGATTGCATATGGTCACGTGACTCGAAAGTCCATTACTGTAATTTAAATACCTATTTTTCCCTTATAAAAAACCAGGTCATCGTTCTAGGGGGTAATTAGGTAATTACACAATGATACATCTCGCATTCCAAGATTTAAAGGGGGCAGATACGTCTTTTCCTAGTATAACGCATGATGAAATGACCTTTATAACCTCCACGCAAAGATGTTTTAATTTTTTATAATGCAAATTTATTAATTTAAATTAATCTAATATATTTTTTCTTTTTTAGATTAATATAGGTGTCCGGGCCAGCTTGCGCGCACCATGACTAATCCCACGGGCCCTGAAGTTAACGACCATGTAAGCCTCCAGTGGCCATTATATGAGTAACCAAGGACTCGAACATGAGACCACGACTAATATATTTTTATTTTGATATTAACTACAAATTTATTAATTTAAATTAATCTAATATTTTTTTTATTTTGATATTAACTGAGTTATCCTAATTTCATGAAATTGACATTTTTAATTAATTTTTTTATTTAATATTAATTTTATTAAAAACTAAACTTAATAATATATTTTAATTTATTTTTTAATAAATTATTATAATCTCATGATAATTTTATCCTGACAGTGAGCCAAGCATGTATTATAATGTTATTATTTTGTTTTGTTAAAGTCATCCTGTTTTTTGTTAAAGTTATTATTTTGTTTTTTATGAGTTATTATAATTTCATCATACAAAATATATATTCACAAGTTAAATTAAGTCAAACTAAATTGATTTAATATATTTTTTATTTTAATATTTATAAATACAAATTTAATCTTAAATATTTATTTCAAATCCAGTTATATTTCCACCTGTTATCTAAATTATGCAACAATTTATCCCTATATAAATTTATGTTTTTTTAACATCTCCTAAATACTTTTTTTTCCTGCATCAAACAAAAATAGCAGATCTGTACCGGGGGGTAAAGATCTAGATAACACCTATACAATAACATGGCATATGTGTGTCAGAGCTCAGATGCAATAAGCGTAGAGCATCGTGCATCCTTTTCAAAAAGACATGGGCATCTGGGATTTCAAAACGTAGCTTTGCCATTACAGCAAGTGATGAAATAAGAGTAAATCACATGAAGCTTATTTTTGCATTTAAGCTTCATGTCCTCGAGCTCCAATGTCTTTTTCCTTTTCAATTAAGAACTTGAATTGTTCTTAGCAAAATCTTGAGTCTGTACACTGTAGCCCAAGGAATTTTATTGTAGAGAGAGAGAGGGGAAATTACGGGCTGGAAGAGAGAGAAAGATTTTAGAAAGAGAAAGAAGAAGAAGATATGAATCAATTGAATTACGGCAGCGTATCTTATTTTCATGGATGAGCTGCCTGCCAGGTCCTCTTCGGCTGTCTATTTGGGTCTTGTTCTCACTTTTAATTGCACAAACGATATTTTTCTCCATCTTTCTTCTTGTTAAGTCAACTTGATCCATTTAATTTTCGAGAAAGGCAAAATCAGGATCCTAATTATCAAATATGTCCCAACTTCTAGAATTAAACTTGGAAGTGGTCCATCCATATATTTTATTTCAAATTAATATAGGGATTGATTTGGTAAAGTTCAGGTTGACCTACCAAAATAATTAATTTAATAAAACGAAATAAGACTACCAAATTAACTACAAAGTTAATAAAACGAAATAAGACTACCAAATTAATTACAAAGTTTTTTTTTAGTTTTATTAAATTAATTACAAAGTTTTTTTTAATAAAAAACAACATCTCAGCCTAAGCTTTACATATTATTAAAATATATTTGAGCAGTGTTCATCTAAGCAAAATTTTATACAAAATAGATATTTTGAAGTGCTTTTTATCTAAAAATAGATTAAAATATTTTTTTATTTTTTTTAAAATTTATTTTTAACCTTACCATATTAAAATATTTAAAAATATAATTTTAATTTTTATAAAATAACATTTGAGCTAAGCAAAGTTTGAAAAAGATAGCTGAGTGGCGTTATTATTGCCATTCCAAGTAAAGTTGTAAACTTAAGAAGAGAAAAAAGTTCTGATCTTCATTTAATTAAAAATCACTTTGATCCACTTAATTAAATTATGTTAAATCACCTTTCATTGGCCAACAGAATCTGTGTCTATATGACACACGCCTGGGAAAGACGCGTGGAATATATAGAGTGAGAAATACAAGCAGATTGGATTAATATTTATTATTTGATCCTTATACTCTCAATATTGTCTTAATATGGCCCGTTTACTGTTCTTAGCCGGTTCCTTTACTCAAGAAATTTTATCGATGGCATCCCTCTATCCAATTTCGGTCCTAAACACTGTTTATTCTTGATGCATGGCCTATAGCATATGCTATATTCACCCTTTCGGACATGCTGTCAAGAACTAATAGTGAGTTGGATGAAAGCTAAAGGAAAGTATTCCATGGATAATCCAGTATTTTATCTACTAAAAAGATCAATTTCAAAGTAAAACCTGGCTCGAGCTGGGTCTCGAGCTGGCGGGTCACCGATTTGACTTGCAAGGCCGAGTTTTATTGCTATGGAAAGGACTATATTAAGAAGAGTTTTTAACTAGTGGGACTAACTAGATAAGAAGAAAAGTGGAGAGTTCACATCAAGCAAAATGTAAGGATCAGAAGGACCAATTCTAAATTAAAAGGAAACAATAATTACAGTTAGCAGAGAAGCGAAGTTAGAATCCAATCACATTCCCACTAGCGAGAAGATATGGGCAAAGCCAACCAAAGATGGGAAGGACAGCTCTTCGATTCTCTCTTTACACGCAATTTGACTGCTTAAAAAATACAATTTAATTTTTCAAAAGCTGAATACCATAGCCTCCATTTTAGACACCTTTCTTGCTTTCCTCCTTGGCTCCTTCGCTTTGCTTCCTCCTTCGTTCTCTTCCCTCTCTCTCTCTCTCTCTCTCGCACACAAATAACACGTCCCTAGAAACACCTTCTGACATTACCTAAGAAAAAACCTCAGTGTCTTTCGATTTTGAACCCACAGAAACTCCCCAGAACATCCCGCGGCATAACAACTATTAAGACAAGTTGTAAACCAACTTGTTTATTTCTCTCTACAAGCACTTGCACTTCTCTGTTCAAAACCGGGTTTTAGTTCAACACTTTCACAACCGAAAACCCTCTCTCTGTCTCAGAAAAGAAAAACCTTTGTAAAAGAAAGGAAGTACATAAGACTCAAGATTTCTTTTTTCTCTTTCTTTTTTTTATTAATATTCTCTTTGTAGTATAATACTGGGGTTTGCTTATCTCAAAAAAACTCTTTCTTTCTCTTTTTTAGTCGTTGGGTTTTTGATAAAGCCAAAAAAGGTAGAAGCTTTGTATTGAGAATAGTTGGCAATGGTGCAGTACTTTAGGTATCATCAGTTAAAGAAGGGTGAGCATCATCATGCTGGGGAGGATGAGATGCTATCTTTGATGAGTGCAACAAGCTCTGGTTATTTCAAGAGATCAAGGCCTAAGCTTTTTTCTCTTCTCATCCTTTCTCTTCTCTCTTGCTGTCTTATTTTAGGTTCTCACTTGTTTTGCTCCCCCTCTGCCTTTTCTCTCTTGTGTAAGTTCCGTTCTCTCTTTCATGGTTTTTGGTTATTTTTTCTTTCTTCTTCTGGCTTTGTCTTGATGCGTGTCTGTGGTTTTCGCAGATTCTTTTGGTGTAGAGACTGATGGGGTTGCTGCTAATGTAAATGCAAAAGCTTCTCTGTGTTCTTCGGTTTCTAACGGTTAGTTCTTTTTATTTTTATGTGCTGTTGCTCTTGCCTTCTTCTTCTGTTAATAAGATTGAATTGGATTTAACAGTATAAGGTATTAGCAGACTGGAAGTCTGTTGCTTTCTGATATTTAGAGTTTCCTTAGGCTACATCGACACGTAACCTAGAAAAGTTAAGGCCGAAAAGATGAAACTGTATTTTTTTCCCAGTGATTAGTTCATGAAGGTGAATGAATGATCTAGTTTCTTGAAACCACAAAAGTAGACACGAAGTTACTGGGTTAAAAGTTTCTTTCTTACCTTATATTTGTTTTCTGAGTTCGATAAAATGTTAGACTCTTGTAGCAAAATGAATTGTGATTTACTGTTAATTTCCTCAAATTTTGACGCAATTTTTTGGTGGTAAATTCAGGAACCATATGCTGTGACCGGAGGAGTATTCGTTCGGATGTCTGTGTTATGAAAGGGGATGTAAGAACAAACTCTGCCTCTTCTTCAATCTTCCTCTACACCTCAAAGAGTACCGATGCTGTGATAAAAAATGTTTCGAGGTTAGCTGATAAAGATGAGGAACTCCAGCACGAAAAGATCAAACCATACACCAGAAAATGGGAAACGAGTGTGATGGACACAATTGATGAATTAGATCTTATCGTGAAGACAGAAAATTTTAGGAATAACCATCATTGTGATGTCAAGCATGATGCACCGGCAGTGTTCTTTTCGACTGGAGGCTACACTGGTAATGTTTATCATGAATTCAATGATGGGCTTTTGCCTTTGTACATTACATCACAGCATTTCAAGAAGAAGGTTGTGTTTGTAATCCTTGAGTATCATGATTGGTGGATAATGAAGTATGGAGATATTCTTTCACATCTTTCGGATTATCCTGCAATTGATTTTAGTGGAGACAAGAGAACTCATTGCTTTCCTGAAGCCATTGTCGGTCTTAGAATCCACGACGAGCTCACAGTGGATCCTTCGCGGATGCAAGGGAATAAAAGTGTTGTTGATTTTCGCAATGTTCTAGACCGAGCATACTTGCCTCGAGTTCAAAGTTTGCTTAAAGAAGAACGGCTAGCTCAAGAAAAGCTAAAACAGAAAGTGCATTCATCATCATCGGAGATCAGAAAGGAAGTGCAAGATGCAACCTTGAAGAGACCTAAGCTGGTCATATTATCTAGAAATGGCTCTAGAGCTATAACTAATGAGGATTTATTGGTGAAGATGGCTGAAGAAATTGGATTCCGAGTTGAAGTAGTGAAGCCTGAACGAACAACAGAACTAGCCAGGATTTATGGGGCACTTAATTCAAGTGAAGTTATGATAGGTGTCCATGGCGCTGCCATGACTCATTTTCTGTTTATGAGGCCTGGCTCTGTTTTTATCCAAGTCATCCCTCTGGGAACAGAATGGGCAGCTGACGCTTATTACGGGGAACCTGCAAGGAAGCTTGGTTTGAAGTATGTTGGCTACCAAATTCTTCCGAGAGAGAGTTCGTTGTATGACAAATATGATAGGAACGATCCTGTTCTTCGAGATCCCGAAAGGGTGTCCGAAAAGGGATGGCAATACACAAAGTCGATCTATCTTGACAACCAAAATGTGAGGCTAAACCTTGGAAGATTTCAAAAGAGGTTACTTCGTGCTTACAGTTACGCTATCGCAAAAATGAACCGCAGATCTCATCTCCAATCACAGTGATATTCAGTACTTGTATGAAGTTGGATAAATGGTTTTTTCTTTTTCTTTACGTACATCATTGATTGATTCATCTCTGTACATTAGCAGGTACAAAAGGTCAACTAGGCGTATATGTTTGTATAAACTACAGAGTCTTTTAATATGTCCTCGCTTCACAAGGCATGGAATAAATAATAAGCTTCGTATGTGTAAATTACGCAATGTTACAAGTATTTTAGATGGGCTGATAATTATATTTTTCATTTCGTTCACTTTCAGTCTCTCCAAAGTTGTTATGTCAGCTTCTGCTGCTTCAAGCAATTATTTCTTTCCCTTTTACAATCCTGTTAATTTTGACGTCTGTTGCGTTTGAGTATGCGTTTTTCCAGACCAAGATAAAGCTGAAAATAAATGAAATCAAATTTGGAATGGAGGATGCTGTACGGATAAGACTGACACGTATTGCAATTTTCCATGAAACTTGAGACCTCGTGAATGCTGGTCTGTATTTACTGATTCAACGATAACATGTGATCACATGATGTGCATAAGGTGCTCTATTATTGCCTCAGTCTTATTTCGCAAGGAACAATATCCACGTTCACGAAGGGCTGCAGGAGAAACAAGCATCTACCATTCCGCTCGACTCTGATTGATACCAATCGAACAGCGTTTAGACTTCTTCAGAAAGAGAAGCAGCATGCCTAGTTCTGGAAAGTGAGCCCTTCTTAAAAATTTGCAACCATAGATATACTAGAATCACACAATAAAATGTAAAAGCAAAAATTGAAGGGAAAAAAACCAGGCTTTGAGATCAAGCATTTCAATTATGAATCAGGTTACACTTCGTTCCCTCTGGCATTTTTTTTGGCATGTACATGTAATCCTGACACTCAGTCTCTATCAGCAAAACTCTCATTGACATGTAAGTGTCTCCCACCTAACTTGGGAAGGCTGTGCTTCGAGCCGAAGCATCATTGCTGTATTCTTCAATTAGCTTGATAGAACAGCCATCAGTGTCAGTTGCATCTTGGCATTGCTTCTAGAGTTTTGACAATCAGACGTGTTGACCTAAAGCCATCGTTTTGTCGACTTTGTTGAGGGATGGACTGGAGGGGGCGTCTTGGCATTCCTCTTAGGGTCATCTGCATCAAAACGGAACATTACATGAAATGAGGTCCCCTTCTCTTATTTTAGATGATGTTTTTTCTATATATATATATATATATATACACTTGCAGTGGAGTTGAGCAAATAATGCTCGAGTAGGTTACACTTGCCAGGTTCAATAGGCTTTCCTCCAAGAGAAGATCTGCGTGATGTTGATGTTTGAACTCCTGTAAGAGATTGCCTTCTTAGTGTCCTGGCATTAGCTGTGAGTGGTGTCTTTAGATCAGTGTCATTGCATATGCCAATAATAGGTGAGAATTCTTCCTTTGAAATCTGCTGATTCCTGTAATTTGAGACAATATGTTACTGCAAAGAAATTTCACTCACATTTCAGTGGATAATGATTTCATATTTGACTTGATGAGCTGGTGGTTGAATGCAACAATCAAGAATTACCTTCCTAAGTCTGGAATCAACCAATCTTATTAATTACTATAATAGAAATATGAATCAAATTTTGAATCAAATTTTACAGATGTCTGAACACACACCTCTTATCGGAGCCGTTAATCAGTTTTCCAATCGTACGGAGGGATTTCCTTATTTGAGATCCTTTTCCATGAGTGCTTCCTTGTGTGCTACGAACAAGATTGGCCGCCTGAGAATCTGTAGAAACACCAAGTTCACTCTGCATCAGAATCTTAGCCTCATTTCTGGAAATTACTTGCGGTTCTGGTGTTATTGGTAGCTGAAGAGTTGGAATTTGCGTCCTGCTATTATCTGTTTTGACCATTCTTTTCTGATACAAACTAGTAGGACTTCGAGTATTGAGGCGATAAACTTCAACGGTGGAACTGCCACTAGCAAAATGCCCTAATGGTTTTGGCACTGCCTCTGCATTTCTGGAAATTACTTGTGGCTCTGGTGTTATTGGTAGCTGAAGAGTTGGAATTTGCGTCCTACTACTATCTGTTTTGACCATTCTCTTCTGATACAAACTAGTAGGACTCCGAGAATTATTGAGGCGATAAACTTCCACCGTGGAACTGCCACTAGCAGAATGCGCAAATGGTTTTGACACTGCCTCTGCATCCTGAATAAAACCATGTTTCTGCAGTGTTACCGAGTCAAAACGTAGGGGCCTGCTTACATCCTCTGCTCCTTTTGCCTGGAAATGCTCTTTCTTGTCATACTTTGGCCCTTCCAAGCTTAATCTTTTGGAACGAGTAGGTACAGAAGGGGTTTTTGATGCCTTTCTATCTTCAGTATTCGTGATTTTCTCAGACTTCCTGCTGCTGCCATTCTCAATACTCAGCCTCCGTGCACGTGGAGGAGTTCGCTCAGGCATCACTTTTGGTATCTCACATGGAGATCTTGGGTCCTTCATTTTATTAAACTGCACATTCTTCTCTTCCTTTCTGGCCAATGCTTTCTTGAGGTTCTCAACCTGAAAGTTGTCCGTGTTGAAATTGTTATGTAACCTGATATCCTTGAGTAGAATTTACATCCATTTGATTTGATAACAAAAGAGAGTAGAAAAGGAACATGATCAACAATTGCTCTCAAAGCGTGCAATTTCAGTTCGTAAGTAAAAAAATAACAGAAGCAAACTATAGTAGCCTCAATTCAAAGAAGAAGAAGAAGAAGAAGAAAATACAACAGCACTAGTACGTGAGGAAAGAAGCCAACAGTATGATGGAATGTTATAAATTTTGGATATACTTGTGAGAACCAACCAACTGATGCAACAAGTATACTGACCATAATGTTTTTGTTGTCAACAAGATAAGAATCCAAAAAACATCACATAGGCGACTTTCTATCCCACCGTTTGCAGGACTTGTAACAGGGAAAATTGGACAGAAAACAGATTCTGAAATCCAGATAAATAAAATTCAGATTTACCTGGTCCTTGAGTTGCATGATCTCACCGCTCTCTTTGTTTGCACGAACAGCACCGAGTTCAATAGTTGATACCCTCTGAGCAAACTTCAAAGTACTGATGGTTTCACCAAAAGAATCTCCTTCTGGACTTAAATGGGCAAACATTAACGTTTTAGCGTGTCCACCTGAAGTAAAAAACGCCAAGAAAAATGTAAGCATATGCTAGGAATCAAAACCAAAACAGAGAAAACAGTATAGAGAAGCTGGAATTTTTGAGAAACAAGTTCATTTGTCTTATTTACACATCACAACCTAAGGAATCTTGTAGTAGAAGTGTGAGTTTGCTGTTTCTGTAAGGGATATGAGAATTCTTTTGAGCCAAGGCTGTGATTACATCTCCTAGACAGGAGAGAGACTTATTAATGTACTGTGCCTCTTTGAGCCTATCTCCCGTAACTTCTGATTTATCCACTCGTTCACTTCCTGCAAGGTCCACCAAATGGAGGGAACTGTGGAGGGTGCTTCCAGATACATCTTTACCATGTACATGAACTGTCAGGATACTGCAGCAACATGTCAAATCACCCTATCAATAAAATGAAACACATGCATGGTTTCAGATTTCATCCTAGTTTGTATAAATCAACCAGAAAACTGACCTATGGGAACGACTGCTCCGGTTGTTGAGTGCAGTGGAACTGACAACACGATTGGCTTCACCGAGTTTCATCAGGTTAAGAACGTCTGCAGTGGACTTCACAGAATGCATTTTAGCATCCGGAAGGCTCAAGCCATTATCACCAGCACAACTCCGAATCTCTAATTTGTGCATGGTTAAGAATACAAAACTTATTACATATGCATGGTTACAATGAAACGGCAGAGTAACGACCTTGACTCACCTACTATGAATGCTTATTTTGCACTGTTTTTATGATTTTCAAATAATAATAATAATAATAGCTAAAAGGATATTTGGTAGCTGTTGAATCTTCAGCAAGAAGGTCTCGTACTTGTTCATTGTAAATTTCAACCATTTGAACTTGAATACTGTAATTTACGATTTCCTTCCTTTCATTAGACATCTGGAAGAGATCACTCAAAGCTAGATAATTAATCCCCATATCCTTGGTTGACCGGCCTGATGGACCACTCTGTTACCACAGAATTTATATATATCATCTGGGAGAATATTGGTTATTGTGCAGATAGCTAACATGTAAACAGAAGAATTCTATGTTTCTATTCAAAAGGGAATAGACTAAAGCCAACTAAGATTAGAAAAACTTACCATGGTATATGTTTTTCCTGATCCAGTTTGACCATAAGCGAAAATGCATGCATTATAACCATCCATCACAGACCTGATCAGTGGTTGAGTGTCCATAAATACCTCATCTGGAAATCAAGAGTCAATATGCAAAATCATCAGATTCAATACATATGCTGCACTGGAAAAATGTTGCTATTGGATAATAGTACCTTGAGTGGCAGTAGGTCCAAACACCCGGTTAAACTGAAAAACTTTCTTTCCATCCTTATGGGGCTTTAGTGGATCCGAAATCACTAGCGAACCGTCATCTCCAATATAATCGATAACATTGCTTGTTCTATCACCGAAAGCAGGCCTGATTCTGCAGTAAACTCGGATATTTCCTGTGGGAAATAGTAATTCGAACAGATCAGGATATTGAACTTCAGTCGCTCATAATAAAAATTAACATTTTAAAGATTGTAACAAGATTCAGGAAATAAGTGAAATTCATGTTTTATAACAGCAAGCTAACCTTTCAAATCCTGAACCATGTTGTACAAGTTCCTGTTCTCTTTCAATACCCTATGGTATCCAAGAGCTGCAGTAGACATCTCTTGTACTTGAATTCCTGATCCGTAGCAATTACAAGAGCATTTAGCTTGTAATTCTTTTTGTACAAATGTGAATGATATTGATATGTCTAGAGATTGGTATTTACAGGAAAAATGATAATTGACATCTAATTTATGAGATTGTTAACAAGCTGAGCTCGTCAGAATATCTCATGGAGCTTCCAAGATATCACAAGTAATAATGGAGTCGAGTCTGAAGAACAGAAATCTAAGACAGATAGCATTAATCGTAGCAGTGAAGATATTTAATTACACACATTGAGAAAGGGATGGTGACACTGTCAAAGTTAATGCATGGTTATTCTTGTACAATAAGTTATTTATAAAAGTAATATACCGAGTTCTCTCAAATCTGTCTGCAGTTGTGACTGTAAGCCCTGGAACTCCCTTTTTGTCAGCGTCAGCAAGGCCTTTATATCCTGAAAGGAAAAAAAAAAAAAAAAAACACAACCAAAAGAATTCAGAAAAAGTCTAATCCTCTAAAGTTTAAACAAAATTGTCAGCTTGATAAATGAGACTGAGGTCATTTTGTTTCCTCACATCTATCCTAATTAAACAAACTTTCTAGCCAAATTTTCTTAAGTGATTTTATGTCACTTGAATAATAGCCTTTTACATGTCAAAACAAAACAATTACTGCTACACTGCAACCTTTCAATCCATGTAAAGGAGAGGATAATAACAAATAGGTACTAACCAGAAGTTCTTTTTCTTGCATTTGAATTAATTGTCTGTGGTTGCAGTTGCCCTTTCTTAAGCAAGCTTGGCAACACTGTAAAACATGAGTCACAGGCACATCAGAATATCTCGTCAGAGACTAATGGTTTGAATCATGAACGAAGAAAAGAGATGTAATTTCATCAAGGTAAGGCAATTGCAAATACAATTAGAATGTTAACAACCAAGAAAAAATACGTAAAAAAAAAATTAATTAACGTGCACTTATGATATGCTAACAGCAAATTAACTTTCATCTTTTACTGTGAGAATCAACAGATTGAAGATGATCGCAAGACATGTATAGAGCAGCAACGATGACACTTAAAATCTTCAAATTGTATATTCCATGGCCAGAGGAGAAAGAGAAAAAATATTAAAGAAGTTGATGGAACTTTAACACAATTACAGCTTTCTACATGCTTATCTATCGACTGCATTTGTAATAAACTATAAAAAACTCACCTTAGAATCTCCTGGTTCAGACGATTCCTCCATAGGCTTTATTGTTGAATGAGAAGGTAAGCTACCACCTTTAGCTGTTGATTTCAACTGTTCGGACCAGAAGATGTAGAGCATGTTCATAATAACTTCATATATGAAAACACAGTTCAATAAAGAGAGATTCGACAGGAAACGTGTAAGCGCTACTATCTTGTACCAAAATATTTCCATTTAAACATGCGATTTGAAATGGTGGCGAGATGATATTTATATCTTTATAAATAGGTAAAAAGTCAAATTATTTGGGAGGGTAAATCTAGGTATTTCTAAGTATTTGCACTTTTTGCGCTAGACAAAGCATTCTCATGTAACTCAGATGCTCCTGGCTAACTATTAAACAGTGAATATCCTCAAATCAGGGGTGCTTTTTTACTAGGAAATCTTTTTGTATGCAGGAAGCAACCGTAGGGGATTGTGTTGATTTAAATAAACTAACCTCTGGGAACTTGTTATGAAGCTTATCTCGTAAACAGCTTAACAGGATATCACTGAACAGCTTCATTGGATCCTGTAGCATTAGAAAAACATTGATAAGAACAATATGCCCTATATAACAGTAAATTTCATACGTCATACAGATTATCATTACCATGTTGTTGCCGGAACGGAGGGACATGAGAAAGTTGCTATCCATGTTTTCCTTGGAATCAGCCATATGCTCAGCAAGTTTCTTGGCAATTAAATCTGCAAAATCCAATACATCACATCAAAGAGGGGAAGGATACACTAAGAAAAAGCAAAAACCACCGTACATGCTATGACTTACAGTTTCTGTTTAGCAGGTGTTTTGTATTCAAGTGATATAACACCATGAGATGTCTTTGCTTCATTTATTACAACTACTAAAAAACTTTGAATGTATCCCAGAGATGCCTATCGACTTGTGCAGGGAAAGAGAGAGCTAATACCTTCAATTTTCTTCAATTCTGAATCTGTTGGTGGCTCTTTTTCACAGGCCGCAGACATGTCCAAACGCCTACATGAGTCTGATGAGATGGGTTGAGAATTGTTCCTGATAGCAGAATGAATAACCATAGGAGATCTAGCAGGCTTATAGAATCCATTAGGGTTCATCTGCTTGTACTCATGGTATGATTTAAGCGCTAAGATGCAATCAACCACATTAGTCCCCGACCCTGTCTCCAAAGAATCCTTTCAAGATTAAATCGAAAAACTCATTAGTCAATTGTTGGTGCTGACATTCATAAATAAATACATTTGCAAATGCTTATACAATCAGACACATAAATAAAGCCTAATTTACCCTTTCAAGATCAGAAGCTTCGAAGGCAGGCAGCCTTAACTCTTCAACAGCCACCAGAAAATTCTTTACATTCTCAAAATACTGATAGGCTGGTAATGGCTGGGATTCTCGGGTTAATGGTAGTAAAGGTGCATGAATCTCCACCACCTTGACATAATTTTCAAAGCAAACAATTAAAACATTGAAATCACTAAAAATCTAGACCAGCTCTATGGTCAAAACAAAGATAAAAAAGCATTGTTAAAGAGACTATTTTCACATTTCATTGGGACTTTTAGCCAACTTTTCCTAATAATGATAAATGAATTAGAAGTAGCAGTGAAAGTACTTTAGGCACTGCCCCTGGATGCACTTTATTTATAGCATTGCAAAGAACCAAGCCATTTCTTAAGCGAGAAATGAACTCTTTCTCTGATGGATTGTTTGATATGCCTATTGGACCCACGAGATTTTCAAGCCATGAAGCCGCTTGATATCTTCGCCATGCTGCAAAAAAAAAAAAAAGTCAATAACATTAAAGATTATCACCATATTCTTCAAAAATTAACAATTGTTAAAATGTTAAAGATTTGATTTTTACTATAATAGAAGTTAGTTTCTAGTCCAAAAATGAAACTAAAAATCATAAACACCATGTTTTCTCGGAAACCAAACAAATGGGTAAAGTAGAAACAAGAAAGAGATAGTAATCAATAATCAAACCTGCTTCTTCAGCTTTTCTTGAAGCCAATATATCATATAATTCAGTTCCTGAAGAATCCTCCATTAACACCAACAAAAAGACCCTTCTTGTTCCTTAAAGAAAACAATCAAAACAAACGACAGTAATTAGAAAACCAAAACCCCACATTTAAAAAACAAAAACCCATTTTACATTCATCTTCCAAAAAAAAAAAAACCACAGTAACCAATGAAACAGACATTGATGTTCAAGAAGAACCTACTTGTTTCACTTTTTTGGGTACCTTTCACTGCTTAGAAAGCCTAAAAGAATCCAAGAAGTGAAGAGAGAGAACGAGGGAGAAATTCAGAGAGAGAGAGGATCAGAGAATGCTATCAAAGTTTGGTTCTTTCTCTCTTGGAAATGAGAAACTAAGCAAAATTTTGCTTCTTTTTGTTTATAGTTTGGTGTGGAGTGAGGTTCGGATCGGAACCTAGGGCTTTGAAATCGTAACGTTAACTGGTGGTTCTTTTGAATTCAAATCTGCAGAGGGAACAACGTGCAAGCATTTCGACCGTCGAGTTTGTCAAGAAGGTAATCAAATCAAACGGTTCATCTTGACAGATCTATGGTTCGACGTCTACATTGTGGAGAGTGAAGTGCACGCCTGATCGGGTATGAAGCGAGTAAAAACACGCCTTATATGCGCGTGGTATGAAGTGGGATAATTAGCTGTTTTCACTCTTGCAGCAAAAGCTTAGGGATTTGCTACTTTATGCAAAGGTAAAATTGGAGATCTGGCGCTTGATGATGTGATTTGTTTCCTAATTTGCATTATCATTTGAATGATTCTGTGTTTTATTTTTAGAAAATATTTCAAAATTTAATTCGAAGCTTGGCGACCATGCCGTAAATTCAAAGGTTGTTGAGGATCATGGGAGATATGATGTTAACTTCTGTCTAATTTTTTTTTTTCAAAATGGAGAAATGAGAGTTTTTTATTTTCCCTCTCATGAGTTGTTCTTTTACAACCTGGTGATCATGGAGTAATTTTATGGTGATGAGGAATAATTAGTTGCATGATATCATTTATTTTTTATAATTTATTTTATAAATTAAAAGATAAAGAAGAGAAATAAATTATATTTTTATCATTTTTTTTCCAAATTGGATAACAATAAACAGCTAATATAATACCACAATATATTTTTTATACACTATAATTTTTTTCATATATAATTATGTTTCTTGGTCATGAGAATTTGGTTAATTTTAATAATTTATGAAGTTAGTAACGATTGGTTTCAAATTTGTAGGTATCTTTAAGGGAAAAAAATGACTCACGTTAATAGACAGTAATTAAAAATTAAAAAAAAAAACTCTTACCATTCTAAAATTTTTCTGCTTCTTCTTCTTCTTCTTTTTTCCTTTTTCTTTTTCAATACCTAGCTCTTCCTCTTCTTCTATCTATTTTATTGAATTAGAGAGGCATTTTATACTATAAAATGTTTGGGGATAATAAAAACTAAGAAAATGATGTATAAGAAAAGAAAAAAAAATATATATGAAAAAAAGAGCACCTATCATATAAGAAAAAAACTAAGAAAATGATGTATAAGAAAAGAAAACAAATATATATGAAAAAAAGAGGGAGCTTTTATAGAGGTATTAAAAAGTTTTTTTTTTAATATGAAGAAAAAACAAATTGTCATGTCAATATGAAAAGAATTTTAGCAAAAATCATTGCATAGATTTTTTTAAAAAATAATTCTCAACAGATAAATAATGTTTAAAAAACAACCCAAAAACTTCAAAATATTTTTTTTATAATAGAATTTTTTTTTCTTCTAAGACATTTTTGAAAAAAGTGTTTAAGAGAAACAACACAATCTATACAAAGTGACAATATCTCTTTCCTTAAAATTCTAATAACAGATGCAAAACATTTTTTCCGCCTCTAGGGTTATCAGAAACATACTCGTAAATCTAATTTGCTTGATTTTAATTCATATTTTTAATGACTTATATAATGTATTTTAAAAGCATATTTTACCTCTAAATTATCATATGTCATTCAGGTAATGGCATTTAATCAACACAATTATTAATGTGGTGCATTTAATCTGGTTAGTGGCAGATTGGCAATGATAAAGATTTTTTTTTATTTTTTTTATATTGCGTACTGATTTTCATGTCTAACCTTTAAAAATTTAAATGTGTTTTTAAATTTGTATTAGTTTAAAAGTTAGTTTTTATTCTTTTAATTTCTATTTATTTCTATTTTAAGGTTTTTTAATTTTTTTTATTTTAATTTCATCTTTTTGTATTTTATTTTTTATCAAGCCAGCTAAAAATCAAATTCTCTTGTTGTTGTTAACTTTGATTCTGGTCTTTATTCTTGTAATTGTTATTTACTTTATTTTTACTATTTTTTGAAGTTTTTTTATTTTTAATTTCATCTCATATATTTTATTTTATTTATCTAATTTGATCATCATTTTATTGATTTATTTTTTTAATTCTTTTCTTGATTTGTTTTTTTTTCACTTTCACTCTTGAATATTTTATTTTATTTTATTTTTTATTTGATCAATTGTTCTCATTCTTTTTATTGTCATTTTTTTATCCATTTTGAAACTTATTTTATTTTTTAATTTAGTCTCTAATTATTTTCTTTGATTTAGTTTTTATACTAGGATTGGTCACATGACTCGAGCCATTAATTTTTGAAAAGTATCTTTTAATATCAATCTTTTTTAGTTTTTTTTTATTTTTTTTCTTGTAATTTTAAAGTATCTTTTAATATCAATCTTTTTTAGGTTTTTTTTTTATTTTTTTCTTGTAATTTTTAAATTTTTTTATGGAGTTATCTCAATTTTATATTTCTGATTGCGGAATAGTAGAGTTAACCTGAATTTACTCAAGTTTTTTTTTTAAATTCGTTATTTAATATTAGATTATTAAGTCTTAAACTTTGTTAATTTTTTTTTGTTTTTTTTATATGGGTTTATCATGTGTGGTGGCTTGGTGAAGTTGACTAGAACTAATCTAGTTTCTTATGACTTTTTTACTCATTTAACTTTGGTTTTTCTTTAATATTTAAATGAATAATATTTTTAATATATAATTAAAATAACTTTCTTATTTTTAATTATAATACTTTTAGTTTTTCATTTAGTTTCGCAGGGTAAAATGAAATGCCAACGTTAAAAAATGTCATTAGCAAGAACTTTCTTTTTCACCTTTACACTAGCAAAATAAAATAAAATAAAATAAAAAGTATTTCTAATAAAAAAATCTATTGTAATTAATTAAAATAATATTTCCATGAATTTTCTCACCTTGTAAACTAAATAAAGAATGTTTGAAAAAGAAAAACAAATAAGCACAGTATTTTCATCAAATATAATAGCAATTCATAATGCATCTTGTGCGTTTATTTTCACTGAAAAAAAATTCAGTAATTTTCTTTCAATTAATCATATAGTATTATGATTAAAAAAGATTTATTTTATATGTTTAAATGCAAGAATCTCTAGAGTTCCAACATATATTGCACAGACCACTTTAATTCAAATTTTAAATCGAAATAAAATCACTATATAGTTAAATCTCAGTAAATTAATACAATGGAACCATGGAGATTTATTTAAACTTGGGATCGAATAAAAATATTATTTAATCAAAATTATTAATTTATCAAGATCATACTGTGCTAAAATTAAAATGACTCAGATATATAAACTTTCCATTAAACCCTAAATAATATATATAGATAGAGCAGAACACAATCTTCGCAAACAACAGGTTAGGACAACTTCCCATATTAATCCAGCAGGAAAGCCAAAAAAGTGATATAAAAACCTTCCCTATTAAGGTTCCCTATGTATAGTAATATCCATTATTATTCATTGAGAGTTTTATCTTCTTAAAAATAAACTGTTCCATTTTACAATTCTACAAATATTAATCTCATTGGTCCCCTGATTTTCATTTTTTAGGGTTTCCATGTTGGCATCAAACACCCATTTACCAAAAATTCTAAAAGAGGTAAATAACCACCTCATAAGTAATTAAAAGTTAACCAAAATTGGATAATTGCTACATATAGTATCCTATCTGTCACCTTTCCTACGAGTATACTAATTCTGGTCACACTTTCCTTCATTAGTCCTTCACAATCCTTATCAATTCAAGCAACATAGTTATTGTAAATCAAGATTTGGTTTCATCTTCTCTCTTTATATATTGAAACACACATCTGTTGTTTCATATTCTTGTTGGTTGCAGAGTTCTGTGTTAGAGGAGACTAGGAGAGACCATTAGCATACATGACTGAAGAGAGGAAAAGAATGGGGAGAGGGAAGATTGAGATAAGGAGGATAGAAAACTTGAATAGCAGGCAAGTCACCTTCTCCAAACGCAGGAATGGGTTGCTGAAGAAAGCTAGAGAATTATCAGTTTTGTGTGATGCTGAGGTTGCCGTCATAGTCTTCTCTAGCACAGGAAAGCTTTATGAATTTTCAAGCACAAGGTATGTTATGCTTTTGCTTTTTTATAGAATTACCATGCGATCTGAATCTAAAATCGTTTTAGTTGTTTTAACAGAGTCAAGATTTGATATCATGTAAAGGGCTTTTTCCTATCTTTCTTTCTTTTTTCGTTCTTGATCTCTTGTGCATCCGTGGCAGCTACTGTGTTTTTTTAATTTTTGATGGCCAGGTCTTGGTCAAACTCGTGTTCAAGTGACTAGTGACTTAAAAGGCAGAACAAGTCAATGGGCCACTGAATACAAAATTATAAAACATAAATTCAAAAGTAAAGGAGCCATCAAGAGATGAAGGGGATGGTTTCTAGGATACAAATAAATTGAGGTTGTTCAAACAGGATATGAGCACAAACCCTAGTAGATTAACAATTGGAAGCTACTTTAGTTTTTTTTTTTTATCCTTTTCCCCTTTCCTTTTCATCTATTTTTTGGATAGTAAAGCTGTATGGAAAGATGATCGAGAAAAGGAATAGTACTTGTCAGGTTAAAAATAGAGGTCATAAAGAAAATTTTAAGTTATTCCTATTTTTAAAAGGTTACAAAGAAAATTTCAAGTTGTTCGATGTGCCATTGGTTTTGGGCTAGAGTTGGATAGATGGTGGTGTTTTTGGGCCATTTTCAGAAGCCTAGAACTGGTTCATGAGAGTGAACTAAATCATTGATAAGCCTTGCATAAGAGCCCTCTTTCCTATAAGCTGTATAGCACATAGATTTTAACATTGCAGTGCCAGTCAGTCAATGTGTGTACTTAGCAAATTTCCACACATACCAATAGAGAAAATCTTCAGTAATGCATGTGTTGAATAACAAGCAAGAGCAAATTAATCCTTATCACACTCTCTTTCAATTCTTGAATTGCAGCATGGAACACACACTTTCAAGATATGGCAGTGGCCTGGATTTGGATTATAATGATCATCCTTCTGATGACCATGGGGCAGAGGTATGCTACAGTTAAAAACAGTATCTTATTGTCAGTTTATCTCCAAACTATATTAAATAAGCGCTTAAAAATCTTTGTGAAAACAGCATTCAAATAGTGCAGAGGTTAATGCAGTGAAAGATGAACTCTCAAAGTTACGGTTGACATGCTTGTGAGTCATCATGAATTGACCTCAATTCCAGGCTAAATTTTTCTTCAGAATCGAGAATTCTATTTTGATGTCGCCCTTATGATTTTTGCAGGCAGATGATGGGTCAACAACTCGATGGATTGAGTTTCAAGGAGCTGCAACACCTAGAACATCAATTAAGTGCAGGCATTCTGTCTGTTAAGGACAAGAAGGTAAACAAATTCTATAATGAGCAGGTTCTCTTTGTATTTGATCATATCCTGCTGAGACTTTGCCGAACCTTTGCTTTCGAATGCCTTGTAACTCATTGTTAATTGTTACAGGAACAAATGCTGATGGATCAGCTTAAGAAATCCAAAATGCAGGTAAAGAAGGCATTTCATTATAACTTGCATGCCCTCGTCAAAGTAACTTTCCATTTCCAATTAAGTAACTTTGATACAAATCTTTTTGCTGCTTTTATTTTCAGGAGCAAAAGGCCATTCTAGAGAACGAATCTCTGCGTAAACAGGTTCGATCATGTACAATTTCGATAATTTCTTGAAGTGTCAATCTTCATGATTGATTAATTGTTTCTTTTCTCTCCAAATGTACATAGATTGAGGAACTCAAACGAGGATCCCGGCCAAAGTCTGCTTTCCTGGAATTAAGTCCTTTGGACAGGAGATTTGCCGTAGCAAGTTCCAAACCTGATAGTAATCGCAAGCCACAGGAAGAAGAAGATCTTTCCGCCACTTCACTGCACTTGGGGTATTTACACACGCTTGGGTTTAATTTCCTGTAATCCATGCTTAAAGAAATCTCCTAGTTTTCTATCATCCTGTAGTTGTTTAGTTGCGGAAAAACAGAAGACACGAAAACTTAGCTATTTTGAGATTCAGCTAAATGTACAATGACAGAGATTCTAGGTTTAAGAGGCAATTAACAAGCTGCAAGATGCACATATATAATTCATACTTGGTTGGACAATTCTGCTTCCTAGCATAATACAAATGAATATTTTTCTTGTTTTTTTACAAGATTCTCATCCTTTTCTCTGTTTTTCTCAGGTTGTCATCTGATGTTTGTCACAGGAGGAAAGCTGCCAAGATTGAATCTGTCTCCAATGATTCAGGAAGTCAGGTGGCTTCAGGGTGATGAAGCATGACATAGATCCTCTTATAATAGGAGGGTTTGTACTAGTTTAGTTGATGAATGTTTTGAGTAAATTTTCAGTCACAGATAGATGTTTTTGGTATATCAGTTTTACCTAGATTTCTAGAGATAACACTCAATGGCTGGTACAGTTTATAAATTGATATATGAATAATGCTAATCTTTTCCGAATTCACTGATGAATTTTCAACGATTGATTTGTGAGGTCAACAACAACTGAAATCAACTAATTCAATGAACTAGAATTTTCAAAAAAGTGTTTTTATCATTATATCTTTACCAAAAAACATCAGATAAAATTTTTTTTTTAGATATAAATTATTGAAAAAACAAACATGTTTAAGTGAAAACGCATTAGGCTTGACAATGTGTCAAATCCCAGACACATCAAAAGGATTTCACATCCTCTCTTAGATGTGTCACAAGATAATGGCTATTTCCTTCGGTTTGTCAAGAAAAAATAATCGTTCCCCTAGACTTATATAACTACCAAGTTCAATTATCTTGAGTTTGATATACCTACCATATTCATGTTACCTTAAACTTGATTGCATGCCAAGTTTAAGAACTTTAGATTTGACATATTTACTAGATCTACATTACCTTATTTTTTTAGGTATGCCAAGGGAGGTTGGTTGTTACCTTGAACTTGTCTAACTATCAAGTTCAAGTATCTTGGATTTACTTCATTGTCAAGTCCAAGTACCTTGGGTTTAATATATTTATCAGATTCACATTACCTTGAATTTGGAGGATGACTAAGTCTAAAAATCTTGGATCTGACTTGTTTGTTAAACTCATGTTATCTTAAACTTTGTTAATTATTTAGTTTAAGTGTTTTGGATTTGACATTTTGCTAAACCTATAACATTACCTCATTTTCTTGGGCGTACAAATAAAAGATTGTCATTTCTTTAAACGTGTCAAAAAAAGATGGACGTTACCTTAAACTTGCTAAATTATCAAGTACATGTGCCTTGAGTTTGTCATGTTTGGCAGACTTATATTATCTCAAACTTAACTGATTGCTAAGTCCAAGTCCAAAAACCTTGGGTCTATTATATTCGTCAAACCCCCATTACTTTATTCCTTTGAGCATGTCAACAGAGGATGATCATTCCCTTGAACTTACAAAATTATTAAGTTCAAATACTTTAAATTTAACATAATTATTATTAGATTTACGTTGCTTTAAATTTAACTACTTACTCTCAAACTACTTGTATTTTTTAAAACATTATTAATAACTGAATTTTATATAAACAACCAGGATTTAGGTATTTCAAAGAAATTTTTTATCATCAAAATCATTGAATTAATGGCCAAGCTAGAATTTCATGCGGGGGGACGTTAAAAAAAATACCCACGTAAGAAATGTACTGCTAATTGTTTTTTATAATTATGTTTGAAACATAAACATTCATGAAATGAAGTATAAAATTCGAGTAAGCTATTTTATTTTTAAAGTTAATTAAAACTAAGTTTTTGAACCAAGAATATTCATAAAATGAAATATAAAATCCAAGTAAGCTATTTTTTTTTGTTAAATTTAATTAAAATTAAGTTTTTGAACCTAAGAATATTCATAAAATGAAATTATTCGACTGCAAATTTAAATCATGTAGTAACTAATAGCCAATGACATGGCTAGCAAAAGAGACGTTTTAAAGAGAGATCTTTGGTTGTCTATGTCTCCATCCGTTCTTAATTAGAATAATCACAAAATTTTGTTATCTCTCATTCCAAAATAATGCTTAAGACTAGTTTATTCCTTAAACATGAGTCCAATTATACTTAAAGCTAAAAAGTGCGGTGTTTTTATTCTTCATAATTCATCCTCTTATATTTTACTATGGATTAAAATAGTGTGTTTTTTTTTTAAATTAATTTCTAATTTTATCCTCAAACTTTTTTCTCTCACAATTAAGTCCTTTTGAGATTAAATTAGAGTTTAATTGTATGTTTAGTTTTTTGAAAGGAAGAGTTGAACTAAAAGAAAAGGGACCATGAAAAAACATGTTGAAAATCTCCATTAAAAATTAATTTGAATCCTTTATCTATTTTAACTATTAGGTAATCGACTCTTGAATTTTACAAAATTAAATTTGGGTGTCAAACTTTATCTTACTCATTTTAAATTTTTTTGTTGTTGGAGAAAATAGAAGAGATTATCAAATTCTAGCTTAAATAAAGAAAGTGTATATTGGTGAGGAATTCAATTACCAAAACAATTATTTTTTATATCAAATGGTTTTATATAATAATGAGAGTTAAGATTAAGTGTTTTTTTCCCTTAAAAACACATAAAAAATTATAGATGAATTTTAGAAGTTTTTGTTTTGTTTTGGGTGAATTTATGATTTTAAAATAATTTTTTAAAGATTTTTGAAGGTTATAAATTGATTTAATAAGATCTTTAAAATATATCCTTATTATTTAGAACAAAAAATTTTTCCAACCGCAGTGAAGTAAGTATCATTTTATTAGTTTTCTACTAACTTTAATCTACATGTCAATTCTAAACCAGCTTTAATCTATATGTCAATTCTAAACCAGCATGGACTTCTTAATTCTCGAAGAAGAGGACATTATATAAAAAATGCTAGAGAGCAAGACAATGCCTAGTTTTCCAATAGAATTGGTCACTTGCGAATAGAGCACACATAAATTGCAGGGCCTTTTCTATTCATTTAAAAAACACCCTAAATAATCTTTAACATTATATTTTGGTGGTTAATTAATAAAATCCAAACCATAATTTATTAAAGTAAGATAAGGGATTCTTCGTTATGAAAACCAACCCTAGACTCCCCCATCCCTTCTAGAATTAATTAATTAATTAATGGTGATGTTAAATTGAAGTAGACATGTTATGCATGCATTATGAAGAGGAAAGAAATGTCAGCTACTGGTGCCTCTATTGGCCAAGTGGCGTGAGCAAAATTGTCATTGCTCCTAGGGCAGCCCTCTATGATGCATGGGTTAGGCCACCAATGAGACTAGTCATATAATTAAATGGAGCATGGAAAAGGTTGGAACCGTCCACAATGTTTATTTTTAAATCTGAATAAAGTAATTAATGATGGTTTTTTATGTTATATAAAGCCGTATTAATCCGTGTTTTGTACAAGAGATTCCAAAGGGGGAAAAAAGATTAAAAAAAAAAAGAGAGGTTTTTTATGTTATATAAAGCCGTATTAATGCGTGTTTTGTACAAGAGATTCCAAAGAGGGAAAAAAGAGAAAAAAAAAAAGAATTATGCATAGTTTATTAAGTGGCTTTCCAAAGGACGGGGACAAAGTGGCCTCTCACAAACATGATCTTGTATTGACCTTCAAAATCATGCTCGTAACCCTTCTGTCACCTCTCCTTCTCTCTCTCTATATATTTTATACATAGAGCCGTATGAATATATGGCTGTAATCTATGCAGGTCGTTTACATACCTTTTGGCTACAATTTACCCTTTAAAGCGTGTGTGTCTGTGTATTTTTCTTGAGTAATGGAAAATGTTGTAAATCTCCAAGGTAATATTGAAGAATATATATTGCAAATATTTAAAGGTTTGTCTGTTCATACATGATTTATAGTGTTGTACTTGACAGAATCTCGAGAAAATAAAGTTGAAAACAAAAGGTCTTAGCTCCCACCACGTGTGAAGGGTTTCAACTCTCCTAATGTACTTTCCTTTCAGCTATTTGGGTGTTAAAAAAATAGAAATTAACAAAAGAAAGAAAAAAAATTGTCATTGCAAGGTAATTTTATAGAATATTGATTACTATGATTTGAATGTCTTCTTCAGCTTGAGCAAAATAATATATGTCGATCTTCAAGCGCGCGCACATATATATATATATAGATCAGTTAATTCTTCCAAGGAAACAGATTGTTGACAAATACTTTCTATATGGACCCATTTAATTTAAAGATTTAAGCCAATACCATTTTAGAAATTAAAGAAAAGTGGTCCTCTACATGAAATAATTCAATATTGCAAGGCCTCTATCAAAGCTAGAGGTGTAAAGCATACACCAATCTTGAAATCATGAAATAGAGCAGTAATTTTGGTCAATGGCAGACGAGAGAGAGAGAGAGAGAGAAAATGGGCTACAAAAAATTCAATTGCAGATGCAAACGGCAAATCTCAAGTGCCTGTTCCAACTACTGGCTAGTATTTTTATAGTATTTTGACTCTATAATTAATTTTTTTTATGTGGATGTATAATCAATTCAAATATAAATAATAGATGTAAAGATGTGATTGGAAAAAGGAATTGATATTAATATGTGGAAATTAATATGAGATATTGTCATCATTAAAACCCCAGAAAACACACAGATTTATGTGTTCCTCAATGAGATTTTCATCGGGTTGGAAGATACCTGGCCATCAAACGTGTGTGATTGTTGAATTGATGGTGGAGATGAGGTGTTTGAAGAAAATAAGGGGGACCCACAAGCATAATGAAGGGTGGAGATCATCGATGACTATAGTGTAAAGCACCTAGAGAATGAGGGGCCATAATGATGCTTTGCAAGGAAACATTTGAAAATGTTAATACACACCGAGTATACGTAGGAGTCCAAGAAATCATCACCACCACACCGCAAAACTCCACAGTCTCCCTTTATATTGGCCACCTCCAAACACTATCATCACCTTGTCGGCCTCTTTCATCTCCCATTTCTCCTCTCCTCCCTCAATCCAACACCTCTCTCTCTCTCTCTCCCTCTGCCAATTCTCTCTATGCAAAACCAATCAATCTATCCATCCTCTTCTCTTTGATTCGACATCTCCTCTAATCCTTCTTCAATTAAACCTAGCTTGTTCAAGCTCCTTGGCTTCAAATACCAACTAGTTTCCCTTTCTATCTTTCTTTTTAACTTCTCTTTGTGACACTGAACATTAATCAACCATGAAACACCAACAGATTACCCTTCAAAGAAGCAGTACCTGTAGCAGAAGCACAAGAAAGATAATCCCATCTAACTACATGAGATCAATCCCTGAACAAGAAGATCATCACTCTCCACTCTCTTCACAACGCCTTGATGATACCAAAATCTATTCAAGATTCACTTGTTTCTTTCGTTCAATCCTCAAGATTATATCTTTCCCCAATATAATCATCCCCAAAACCTGTAAATGGCTATCAACCCCAACCCATTACCTCTCCATAACCCCTTCTCTTGGCCGGAAAGTGACCGGAACCCTCTTCGGAAACCGCCATGGTCATGTCAGCTTCGCAGTCCAGGATAATCCTGGCTCTGAACCGGTCCTTTTACTCGAGCTTTCGATCTCTACGGCAATGTTAGTTAAGGAAATGTCATCAGGTTTGGTCAGGATCGCCCTGGAATGCGATAAGGTTCGTGCTCCTCAGGTTCAGACAGGCCGGCAGGGGAAGCTGTTTAATGAACCAACATGGACTATGTATTGTAATGGAAGGAAGTGTGGATACGCCGTGTCGAGGAGGTGCACGTATTCTGATTGGTACGTGCTTGGAACTGTGCAGAGTGTTTCAGTCGGTGCTGGGGTAATTCCGGTGGTGGAGGATGGGCGGAAGAGCGGTGGTGGGGAAGGAGAGTTGTTGTATATGAGGGCTAAGTTCGAGCGAGTTGTAGGGAGCCGTGACTCAGAGGCGTTTTATATGATGAATCCTGAAGGAAATGGAGGGCCTGAACTCAGTATATTTTTACTTAGAATATGAGAAGAAATAAAACAAGGGATCAAAGACTTTGCGATTTATTGTTACTCGGTAATGTAAGGTGGATATGCTTGTTTAATTAAATAATTAGTAACATGCATGGTGATGTATTTCTTTTTTTTTTTAAGTTTTCTATTTTTATGTGATTTTCTTGTTTGTATTTTGTTTAGATTTTAGATGTTAGATAGTTTGCCTTGTTTGTGGAATAAAGCACAGTAATGAAGAAAAAAACAGATCAACAATGTTTTTTTCCTTGTCTCAGGGTTGGATCATACAAGAAAATTTAACTTAGATTAATTTTATATATTTCATTTCATCATCTAAAATAGTACCTATCTAAGTAACAGATCTCTCTCTCTCTCTCTCTATATATATATATATATATATATATATATGTATGTATGTATATAGATTTATATTTATAGTTAGCAACATTTTCATACCATTCACAGACATTCCTTCATTTAAATTAGATTAATTTTATATATTTAATCATCTAAATTTAAACTGCTCTATATTTTGCAAGATCTTTAATGATTTTCAGTGAAGTTAAATTAAGAATGATAATATAAGAACTAAATCTACTCATCACTTAAATGTATAGAGGGAGGGGGTGTGAAAACGAGTTTCATCTTTTAACGTGCACGCGTGCATGCCACGGCTAAAGAAGAAATGATCGGCATGCTTATTGCCCTGGCCCAAGACCATGAATTTTCACAATAATTCTACTACAGTTAGTATTATTCTAGCAAACAGGACTGCCTCGACTGTCAACTTGGGAAATTGTAGAGGCATTTATACATATATTTATTTGTCTGCTAAAGGCAACATTAACTTCAAGAAATTTAAGGTTAGCTTTTAGTTTAGATGTAAGTGCGCTTGATATATATGACTATGAGAGTTTGATTGCCTTATAAGTTGATTGATTAGGATACCCATGGCCAAATTATCCGAAAGGAATATTAATGTTATTTATCTTGAGAAAACATCTCTAATATATTAATTAGAAGCAGGGAGAATTGTCGAATAATAGGAGAAAAATTTAAGAAAATTAAGAGTTATTTCACACGATAATCTAAATGATTCATATATAATTTTATTTTTTTGTTCATGTATAGCATTATTCGAAGTTAGGTAACCTCATTTTATTTGAAATTAAGAATTTTAGTGTTGATTTTATTGGACGATTTCTTTTACAATCCACTTTTCAAAACATTTTAATTAATCATGGATGAGTATATTAATTCAATATATACATGGGGTTTTTTCTCATTCGAAAAATACTCTAAAAATCAACATTACTCAATTTAAAATGTCTTAATTTGGACTAAACATCGAAAAAATAGCATTAGTCAAATAAATATTTGCAGATTAAAGTGGATATATATATATATATATATATGAAATTATTAATTAATTATAGTAATTGAGTTTGGCAAAGAAATAAAACTTAGGTCTGCGCTCACTACTGTGTCGACCCACTTCCCTACAAGTTGGCACATCGCGGCCATAAATCACTTAAAGGAAACACTACTCTTTGTCCCCAAGCAGAATCTTTATTAAGGATCCGTCATTTTATGCAAAAGTCATAATCTTTTCCAGTATCTGGGGAAGGTTATCGTCTATCCATGGATAAAATGACGTGCATTGATTTGTGATGAGAAAAGCCAAGCTTGATGGGACGAGATATTATGCTGTTAATTGTTGATCATTGGATAATTCTGTAATGAGAATTGTTCATTTGGAATTATATAGTAAGTATGCTATTCAATTTTTTTTTAACGTAAAAAGATAATTAACATTATTAACATGTTTTCTTGGAAAAGAATTTTAAATTATACAAAACTTAATTTGATTTAACTATGTTAACTTGGTATGTATAAAAATAATATGAATAATTGATAACAATCTAGATTGATTAAGAAATTTTTTAAATAATATTTTTTAAATATTAAAATAATAATATATTAGATTAAATTTAATATTAAAATTAAAATTAAAATTAAAAAATTAAATTAAACAGTGATTTGTGCTTCTACAGTAAATTTAATATTAAAAAATAAAATTAAAACTAAAAAAAAGTTAAAGCACTGTTCAAGTCGAAGGTGCGTTTAATTCCTTTTTTAGTTTTTGTTCATAACTATTAGTGGTTGTTTTTGTTAAAGTCAAACTTACGAGCTTAACAATTACATGTGACGCACTGTGATTGGTTGAAATTTTGATCAATACTGTTCATTGACTTTCACTATGTTTGGTTGTTATTGTTATTCTACTAAATTAAGCACAGCTATGTTTCATCTAAAATTAATGCATGTTTTCTTGTGAAATTAAAGCATTTAATTATTATTTAAAAAAATATTATTTTGTTTTTCAAATAAAACAAGTACCTCTTACTTTTAATTAAGATCATAGTTGTTTATTGTGAAATCTAGTTTTCATAATTAAAATGACAACTTTATTTATTATTATATTAAATTACGCATGATAAAAATAATATATAGTTCTTTACTAACTCTATTTAAAACAAAAAATCTGTTAAAATGATGTGACCATACATATTGTTATCCAATTTTGTTTTTTAAATTATTTGAACTTGTGAATTATTTTCATAAAAAAAATATTGATACATTTCATGTGATTTTAAAAAGTTATAAATAATTTAATATAAATAAAATATTTTTAGTACTTTACAGTCCTTATCAATCATTTTATATCTAAAAACTCCAACAATAAGATTTAACCAAATACCATTTACCCGCTTTGAAGACTTGGAATTTTCATCACAAACTCAAAACATAGAAATGCTAAAGTGAAAGTGGAATTTAAAAGGCTGCTTCTATAATATATTTCAAGACCCACCCACCACCTTACCTTCCATTAGAAGAAAGAAAGAACTACAGATGGATTTTGACGAGGGTTTTCCGTAATTATTCAATAACAACAACAATTGACGATGTCGTATCTCAAACGGATCAAGATCACATGGGAAAAAAATATCTTGGTCTGGTTGAATTAATCTCAAACGAATCCATGAACACCCAAAGATGCAAGATATGGTATTACAGAAGAGGAATGAAAGTACAGCCAAGATAACATATGGACAATGTAAACGTGTCGAAGCTGTGTCCCATAATCGAGAAAGGACCTCAAGATCTATAGGTTTTTGAGTCAACAACTCATAAAGATACGTTATCTTCAGAGGTCCAGTTCGGAGTTTGGACATCTGCTTCTGTATTTAATAACGTCTCGGATATCTTTGTCTAGCATTAGACAATAGTTTTTGAAGGGAACAATTACGTGGTGTTTTATTTTTGTTTATCTGAAAAATTAACGTGTATGGTATAAAATAAATGTATAAAATTTATACCTAACAAATAGGAAATAGATCATAGATTACTCACACAAGTTTTTGTTTAAGATTTAAATAATTCTTGCTGTACTTTCAAAGATTTTTTTTTTTTTTAATATGGTATATTGATTATTATTGAATTGGCTAATTAATATGTTTTTGTTTAAGATTTAAATAATTCTTGCTGTACTTTCAAAGAATTTTTTTTTTTTTAATATGGTATGTTGATTATTATTGAATTGGCTAATTAAGGATGCCCCAGCTGGCACTCCTACTATAAAGTGCAATGAAAAACAATATCAAAATCGTTATGACAACTTCTCTAACCGCTGATCCCTAACTCAAAATATTTTAAGGTTTGTAATAAGGCTTTGAGTCAGAGTTTTTGGTAATATATATTGAGGTTAGAAATCTTGAGAAAACTTGTGCTGCCAATCTACAAGTAAAGGCCCTTTTAATTTCAACCCAATTGGTTCTTCCATTTTTTTGCCAAAAAGAAGAAGAAGAAGAACACAATTCCCTGGTGATCTCTTTAATTGATATTCTATTTTTGTTTTCACCTTAATTTTTTAAAAAAATTCAGATATCTTAGACAGCTTAGACTAAATTTTTACAGTCTGGAACTAGTCTTTATACAGGGTTAAGCCCTGTAACCTGTAACTCAAAGAGATTTGATGTTGCTGGATTTAAACTTGAGATAAAATCCCTAGCTAAATACCGCTCGACCAACCCTGGGGGATTTTTCATCTTAATTTAATATTCGGTAACTAATGATTTTGAATTCCATCAAAGAAAATGAGAGAAGAAATTATTATGAAAAAACAATTAAATATAAATAAAATAACCCGATCAATGAGAGATTTAGTCTCAATCCATAAAAACCATATTAAAAATAGACGACCTCTAAAAAAAAAACATAATTGACCATAATTAAGCATTAGCTAGAACAACTAATAACCAGAGTGTCAATGAGGGCACGATCGAGAACATGTGGAAACTGCATGCATGACATTGTTTTCTTGAGCAAGATAGTTTTGGATGAGATCGTCTCTAAGCATTAATTAGAAGAGAACACATACGCATCCTCCCAATCTCTTCTACCAGAAGGATATTTTTGTAGGTGTAGACTAATTGATGCAGCTAGCTGGCTAGTTCGTAAATATATTCAATTTTGAGCTTCTCTCACTCCTCTTATTCAAAGGCATCAGTTCATAGAGACTTTAGCACCAACAATATGGTGTTGCTGGCTTAAAATGGTGGAACATGGAATGGAGACAAACCCAAAAGAAAAGAAATTGAAGAAAGTAACGTGGCTCTTATTCATCAAGACTGTAAACAGCAGCACTCACTGAGCTGATCCAAAATACAAAAGATGTAAAATAAGAGTATTAGCACAAGGGTACTCACATGGGAAAATCGTCTTGGGGATCTAAGAGAACGTGAACAAAACACTTGTCACATATATATAGAATGGAGTGCCGAAAAGAAACCAGGGCAAGATAGATATAACTTGAATAAATATTACGCATGATAGTTGTTTTTGATAAGAGATAGATATAACTTGAATAAATATTATGCATGCTTACAGAAACTAGCTACCTACCTTGTATAATAAAAGACACTACAACAGCTCCTGAGTTTAATGTGAATTTATACACTTATCGTCATCGTAGATTGGAATTGTGAAGTGATAATTTTACCTTATAAACAGAACACAACTGGCTTTGAGAATAGGGATATAATATATATATATTGTTATTAGAAAAAAGAAATCTCCTATATGCTCCTGGAGGAAAAAAAATAAAAATAAAACTAGAGGGGAGGGACACTTTCAGCATTTTTCATTTTAGTTGCAGAGTGAAATTATTAAATTAATCTTGAATTTTAATT